ATAAGATCTGGTTTGTCAGAGGATTTGATGTGACGTTCAAGCGTGTGTTATTTTTGAATTCTCGAACTCATTCCTAGGTCTATCATTTTTGTGCGCCGTGTTCTTGGTTCCGCTGAGCGCAGTGAGCGCTGCTTGTGTAAGCGGCGTTGTGAGCTGTGGTTCATGCGTCTACAAGCGGTTGCGGCATTGCGAGCGCCATTGCGAGCGGCAGTTTATGCGAGTGGCAGTTTGTGCGAGCGGCGCTACGAGCAGTTGCGGTGTTGCGAGTGGCGCTACGAGTAGTTGCGGTGTTGCGAGTGGCACTGTCTTTGGTGTGGCTACCGCTTCCTCTTGATATTCGGCACTTGTGCTTCCTGGTATGTTCACCATGGAATGGTTTAGGACCACATTTAGAAATGGCATGAGGGCACATGCCATCTTGGGCCCTTGCAATTTCATGGCTAGCATATTGTCATGTATGTTTTTACTTGCCTGCAGCTGTGTGTATATCAAGATGGCATGAGGCCTCATGCCAATTTTGTGAATGCGAAATTTCACGTGGGTGTCAATAGCATGTTTGAATAATGGCATGTGGCCTCATGCTATTTGGTATGTTATGATTTAGGCCATTCTCCAATCATTTTTTGTATGGTCTTAACTTCTTTTCTGCACTTTCAGAATGGCCTTCAGGGTTGGGGAAAAGGTTTACATTTTGAATGGTGGGAAGAGAGTTGCAAAAGGGACCCTTGTGTCTATGGATCGGAACTTTGTTATACACTGTCAAAGGCTTGGGGAAGGCAATGCTGCTGTATCAGTAGAGACTGTCTTCGATGGGAATGTGGTCGCTATTGAACGAGGAGAGATGGTCGTCGGGGTAAATGTTGTTGTTGCCTTGAAAAATCTGCAGAAGAAAGCAGATGTTGGGGACAACGCAAGTGCGACGCATGTTCCCTCCGTGGATCTTAAGAACCGTGCTACATGGATTCAGGCAAAGGTGTTTCTAAACAACCCCGAGGGGGAGGTGGTAGCTGAGGGCTTAGCCACAGTTGTCGATCCAAGAGATGCGGTTGCTAATCAAGAATTGGGCTGGGATGATATTGGAGTTGCAATTTTAGAGGTTGTTGACACAGAAGAAAATAGTCTGACTATTGGAAGCATTGTGCGGTGGAAATTGAGGCATTTAGTGTTTGAGAATGTGAAGGATTCACAATCAAACACCACTACAACTGATGACAGAACATCTCTTCATGGGAAAAGAAAGTACACCTTCCTACAGCGCAGCCAAAGGGATCTGAGCAACGAACCGAAAAGGCAGAAAATGGCGATGGAGGTTCGAATGGTCTCGACAGTTGCTTGTTGCAAGAGGAGGTGCTGTCAACATGCTGATTGGGATGCTATTGAAGAGGAGAGAGCAAGATACAAGACATTGTCCTGGAAGGCAGCTCGCAATTTTGTGTATGAGGCATTACGGTCATCTGTTGATGCTTCAGAACATCAGGTGGGGGGCATGGTCTTCCAGAGGGGTTTGGTCTGCATGAAGGCATGGAGAATCATTTATGGAGTCCCTCGAACCACATTCTACAGAATCAAAACTGAGTTCGAGGAACAAAGGGTTCAACAGGCAGTCCATAGGAACGACGGTACGCACAAAACCAGGGGTCATGTTGTATATGGAGAGGCAATCTTCAAGAGGTTTGTCGAGACATGTAGCGAGCAGCAACCACATAAAACCCGCCTCTTGGAAGATGGAACACGAGACACCCAACGAGTTCTCCCTTCCATGTATACCAAGGGGGCCATATTGGAAGATGTGAATCGGGAACTCCAAAGTAATGGCTACAGGAAGCTGAGCCAATCTAGATTTAGTAGATTGTGGAGCAACAGGTTCAGGGATGTGAGTATAGGAAAGTACTCCAGCTTTTCAAAGTGTGACGAGTGCACTGCTATCAAAATGGCTTTGTAGAAGAATTCTTGCAGTGCTCAAGAGCGAGAGACGTTGGTTAGAAGGCGGCTCGACCACAACATCGAGCAGAGAAGCTGCAGGACTGCATATTATCATAACAGGATTCTCTCCATGGAGAGACCTGACTCTTACCTCTGCATCATCCACGACAAAATGGACCAGAAAAAGACGTGCTTACCTCGACTCAATCCTGCCCCCAAGGCAATCTCTTCATTCATGCAGCTGCCTGTGTCTCTGTTTGGCATAATCGCTCATGGGCATGGTGCCCAGAACTATGGGAACTTCTTTGTACCTCTATGGGGTGGCGGGGGTGCAAACATGATGATTGCGTCCCTAGCAAAACACTTAAGGTCTCTGCAAAGTGCGCAGACTGAGCTGAACGGCCAACCCTTGCATAAGGCCCTTGTCGATCGAACCCCATACAGGGTTCAGCTGGAGGAGGAGCAAAGGCTTGCAGTATCGCGTGGGGCCCCATGCCATCCCAGTGAATATGTTGGCCGTCAAATTGTAGGGTTATCACGTGAGGCCTCATGCCATTCCGACGAGGCTGGTCGCCCGGTGAATGCACAGCCTCATCCAAACGAAGCAAAATCTCAAGGAAGTTCTTGCGGCCGATGTGGCCTTCCACCCCATCTTCTGCTCCAAACAGACAATGCTGGCAGTGAGAACAAAAACATGTACGTCTTCGCGTACTTGGCGATGCTTGTTGCCAAAGGCATATTTGAAACGGTTACACGTGGCTTTCTCATGGTTGGGCACACTCATGAAGACGTCGATGCCATGTTCAGTCACCTGGCAGAGTCCCTCCGGCGATCCAATGTCCTCACCCTCCCACAACTCTACGATGAATTCCAAAATTGCATCAAAGGCACTGTTGAAGCTGCACTTGTGACAGAGGTTCCAGACTTTAAGGGGTTTGTAAGAGGCTACATCAGGGACGGATCCGAAACGCTGATTGGCCACTCCAAGCCTCTTCAGTTTCATTTCAGCATGCGTGACGGTGCTCCAGTGATGAGGTACAAGATGAGAGAATGGGACACAGTGTGGCTGCCAGTGGATGGCATTGAACTCTTCAAGAGAGATCCCATAACTGGGGAACCTATGATTCCTCAGGGTTCCCCACGGCCGATGCACCCGGATGGACTCAAAGACCAGGAAAGTATAGTGGCCGGGATTAGACAGCATATTGCCTTCTGGAAGAGGGGGTTGGTGTTTGGTGGAGAATCCTATTTTAAGAGGTGCAAGCCTTTGCTCGAATACTGGGAGAAGATTATATCTGCTATCCAAAATGGGCCGGTTGTATATGAAGAATTGGAAGAGTCCTTTTGGCCAGAACCCAGAGCACCAGATAGTAGCGGAACAATGTCCTCTGGAAATGCAGTGACAGATAACGATGTTGAGGATCACTATTGTGGGCCGAGGAACAAGAAGCCAGATTCAGCATTCAATCCAGTACAAGTCTGCAAAGGAATGGTCGTGCTTGTCAGACCCAGTAATAAAAAACAAATGATATGGGTGGGGCGCTACATCACTGATGCAGAGGA